AACCTACCTGTAAGCGGTGAGGGTAGATATGTTACAGGACTACAACAAATACAACCTCATACGAGCTTCCATAGAACGCCTGTTAAATACTACAAAAATGCCCCCCATGTGTGCATTGTAATATGTACGCACATAAATACACAAAAATCCACGTGTAACTGTAACCCGCATGGGCCCCGGCGAACGTGTTACAGGTACACACTTGACGTCTAAGAATGCTGCACGAGTCAATAAATTAACTATAGTTCGAGGCCAATCCTTCAATATGGATAGATAGGAGTTGACGGGACTAGAATTATCAAACAGATATACAGTCAAGGTATCGACCAGAATATATGTTTTATACATTAATATAAGACCTTCAAGGCCTATGAATATAGAAATTTATTAATAAAATATAAAGCCTACAAAATCCGATCCTATGTCAGCAAGTCGACAATGTTCAATCCATAAATGAGAATTTCCTGTAATCACTCCTATGATGGTCACGTTGAACGAAAATATCAACCGGAGGGGTCAATTCCAATATTCAAAATACTCCCCAAATTTTACAAATGCCCGTGAAATTCAAAACTCATAAAATCCTAAAATCCAAATGTTTAAAATCAAAATTCAACCATCAAAACACTTAATGTAAAATCCATCTACCCTCCAATAGTTTACCGACGTGGACAAATTCAAATATCACTTCAGCTAAAAAAAAAGCTAATATCTAGTCGAGAATAACACTAGGATATATACTCAAACAGTCTCCTATCAGCGGGGACGTGGCCGTTTTGCCGACAAATGGCACCACAGGTAAACAGTTATGACTGAGGCCCTCTGAATCAGGTTGTTTGCTGCAAAATGGCACCATGAAATTATGGTTATGGTCAGAGCCCGAATGCTCCCTAATGGAAACAAATACTTGAGATACGAATCAATATGATATAATCGATAGGGCACAAAGCCTTCTGTTAGCTAAGGTGGATTCAAAATTGTCCCCTTAGACAAACATCCACCCCAAGTCTACAAAGAACTCTTGGACGACGTAACCCATGGCTGCCGACAAGGATCCTCCAGTCAGGTTGGGTCGACTACCTCCTCTGACTAGGTAGATAAGGACCATGATGGCCCGGGACAATGGAACAATAGGATCTTGATCGGGTAAATCATCCATTCCCCCACCATCCGCTTTAAGTGCAAAATGGTGAAATTTTTTATTTTAAATATTAAAATTCCAATACAAAAAGCTCATGCTGCTACTACATGCCAGATGACACGTATTTTCTACGTATCTGATTGATGACTAGCCTTAATCAAAAGTTCTCTCCCATTGTCGAGAGGGGTAATTAACTATAGGGTTCTCTCCCATTGTCGAGAGGGGTAATTAACTATAGGGGCTTGTGCCTATAGGAAACCAATAACTCAGATCATTATATCCTTGCAAAATGAGGGTGAAATCTTTGGGTAGTGTCTTATCTACAAACCTAATCTACCTTCCCAAAATTTACCCCATAACTTAATCCATTAAAACTCCACCAAAAAGCAACAGGGAGCTCTGGGCCAAATTTTTGGAGCCCACAACCACCCTGACAAATTAATATTGAAGGTCGATAAATTTCACTTTAAGTGTTTTGATGATTCATTTCAGTTTTGAATATTTCAGATTTTTATGATTTTTCATATTTTGGTTTTTTTATGGGCATTTGGAAGGCTTTTGTAAATATTTAGATTTAACCCCTCCGGTTGAAGTCTACATTCCACATGGTCATCATTGGGGTGACTTTGAGGTCATTTAAAAATTATTGTATTTTGTGAAAGTTTAAGGTCATTTAGAAGTGTAGGATCCCCTCCGGTTGAGATAAGCATTCAACATGCCATCATCAAGGTATTTATGGACAATTTCATTTTATTGACTGGACCTTGTCTGCTCTGTTTGTTTTCCGATAGAGGATTAGGTTCATTGTAAGTTGTATACCTTTATTTAGAGAATTTTCCTGGTTATTGGCCTTGAAGGCCTAATATAAATGTATTAAAATAAATATCTTGGTCGACGTCGTGATCATATATTTATTTGATAATCTGAGCTGTGTCAACTCTTATCTACTCACATAGAAGGATCAAGTTCGAACATGGATTTATAATTTGACCAGCGTAGCATCCTCAGACGTCACGTATGTACCCATAGCACACACGATGGGGCACATTCAAGTATTTCGAGGGCATTTTCTAATTATCTATTGAGCATTGTCGACTCTATCTAACTGTTGTTAGAGGATCGAGTTTGTTGTTGACTTTATGCCGTCAATTAATGAATTGTTTATTATAGTAGGCCCTGAAGGCCTAATATGAACGTATAAAACAAATATCTTGGCTGATGTCATGACCGTATATTTATTCGATAGTTCGAACCGTGTCGACTCCTAGCTATTCATATAAGAAACTAGAGGTTGAACTTCAATTTATCATTTAACCCGCGCAACAACCTCAGATGTCACGTGTGTACCCATAACACGCTTGTCAGGCCCCATTCAAGTATTTAGAGGTTATTTTGTAATTATTCATTGAACCTTATCGATTCTATCTAATTGCTAATAGAGCATCGGGTTTGTTGTTGGATTTATACCGTCTATTAATGAATTTTTCTTATAGTAGGCTTTCCCTTAAAGGCCTAATATGAATGTACAAAACAAATATCTCAGTTGATGTCATGACCGTATATTTGTTCGATAGTTCGAACCATGTCGACTCCTATCTACTCACATAAGAGGCTCGGGCCCGAACCTAGGTTCATTTTTTTTACCTATGTAGCATCTTTAGACGTTATGCGTGTAGCTATAACATAATCACTAGGCCCATTCAATTGTATATTCTTACATGTATACAAGTTACTGTACTTACATGTGTACTTTCATATTTGTATGCATACATGTTGCAATGCACATGTGAGGATTTTAAAATATTTGGCGTTGATCAACTGTGTGAATGATCAACATTTAACTGTGCGCAGTGCTCTATATAGAAGCCTGTAAATTCCCTCTGTTAGCTTGTATGAGTGTTGCAGATCTGGTGGTGTGGCATTGTGTTTCAATGGAATTTATAAACGCCTTTTGTCCGCTTGCATAAAAGTTGTGGATACGATGGTGATGCATTGAATTTCGTTTCGGGAATTTGTAAACTCCTTTTGTTTGCTTATATGAATGTTGCGGATCATATGGGGTGATAAGTGCGAGTTGCTTGTGACTTTATGCAACTAAGTTATCGTTGAGAAATGCGTAGTGTTTCATTTGGGAATTTGCACACGCCTTTTGTCCACTTATATGCATGTTGCACATCCGGTGGTGTGGCATTGTGGATTGCATTTAAGTGTGTACAACGCTCTATGAGATGCTTTTATGGTGGGATTAGGGATAATTTTAAGGGGAAAAGGTTTGTATGTGGGGGTTATGTGAAGAAATTTATAGAGTAGTTTTCTTAGGCAATTTTGAGTTCCTAGTTGCTGCTAGGAAATTAGGGGAGAGCCAATTCACCTCTCGAACAATGAATCAATTGTATCTTGTACTTCTTTGGTTGAAGATTGTTATTTTCAGCTTTATTAGTGTTGTTCCTGCATACTATTGTTGTTTACTCTTGATTTTGATGGTTGTTTTTCGTTGTGGTGTTGATTTTGTTCTCGTGGTTGTTTTGGGTATTGAGAAAATAAAATGAGTATAGATCCACCACCTTATTCAACAAATAAATTCAGGTCATGATCCAACATATAGCATGGAACAAATAAAAAATGAGTTTGTAAATCACACCATGTAAAGCTCAAGCTCAAGGTATTTACCAAATAAGCTCAGTACATGAACTACCGATGATTCAACCCAGCTCATAACGGAGTGTAACCGAAATTCTTACAATAGAAAACAGTTAAAGTTATCATTTAAACAGAAGGGATGTTGTTTCTGTAGTGTTCAGAGAGTAAAGAAAAACTAAAGATTTGTCATATATAATTGCAGTAAAAAGTAACTTTACTAGACCTTCAAGAAAAAGTTGATCATTTTCTATGCACATGCAAACTAAGCAAATTTTTTTAATTCAAAGCCCACTATGTTAAATTAACGTGTTGGTACTAAAGGAAGCACAAACAGGAGAGTTGAGAGTTCTATGTAGCAATAACAAAACTGGCAATATATATTTGACAAACGAATAACAAAAATATCAATGGCAAAGTTACCGCGCAAAGAAAAGCACCAGAAAGCGTCTAAATTGAAGGCATTGCTATTTAAAATAGATTAAGTTAGAGTTGAGGACTGTACAAGTAAAATAAATGTTAGACAACAACTCCTAACATGAGGAAATAACAGGTAATTTAAAAATATATATATGAAGCAAGAGTAAAAGGACTAGACAACATGATAAAAAGTTGATTGCAATGACTTAAATCAACTAGAGCCATCAGCATATGAAAAACTTGACAGGATTGAATTAAAAATAAGTATTTCAAATGCCAACCAAAATAGCTGGATAAGGAAGCTGCAGTAGCCGGCTATAATGACAATAATAATGATGTCAACGTCACAGCTGTAATAACACCAACAAACTATGAAAGTGCATACTTAGTGGTAGTTTTGTTTATGTGAATAGGGATTGTAATAAGTTAGCGGATGTTTGTGCTAACTGTGTTCTTAGTGGTAGTTTTGTTTGGGATGATATTAGAATGGATCATAATCCCCCTCATTTTTCTCAATTGTTAAAAGGAGTGTGACGTTGTTGGTAGTTTGTATTAGGCCTCTTTTCTTTTAATGCTAATCCTATAATGTAAATAGCATGGGCAAATATTTTCAGCGTTTTTTATTTGTTTATTTTTTTCCATTTCAATAACTAATTAAATAAAATAAGATAAGTTACCAGTTTGTAGCCGGCCTCAAGAAACATAAAACGAGATAACACTGAACAATTCTGTCATTCGCTTCAAAAAACATTAAACTACAAAGAAACCAAAATTTGACTTGAAGCAATCCCTGAAATCATACCTCAGTGATCAGCCTTAACTGATGAACATAGTCTCTTCCTGGAAATAGAGCTTCTCGAGTTACAATCTCACCAAGAATGCACCCCACTGACCAAATATCAATAGCAGCAGTGTACTCTGAACAGTTTAAAAGAAGCTCAGGTGCTCGATACCAACGAGTGACAACATATTCTGTCATGAAATCGGTTTCTGATGTTGTCCTGGCAAGGCCAAAATCTCCTATCTTAAGATCACAATTCGCATTCAAGAGCAAATTGCTTGGCTTGAGGTCACGGTGCAAAACATGTGCAGAATGAACAAATTTTAATCCACGTAATATCTGATACAGGAAATACTGCAAAAACCGAAATGCTGTTTAGTGAGATCTATGCATTAAGAAACTCCTTTGTCATACTGCAAGCATATGAAAAATAGATAAGGCCAAACTGAAAAGGCAAATTGCAATTACCATTTCGTGTGTGTGCTAGCAATGCAACAATAAATCTGTCATCTTTAGAAATTCAGAAGCAACAGAGCTAGTTATGCAAAGGGCACTGAAGTTTGTTCAGCATGGAACCAAGACACGAGTCATGCAAGAAACTTTGGAAATCATAATGCGCATATTTTGTCATAAGATTATTGTAATTAGGAATAAATAAATAATTGAACAGAACATACGTCATTAATTTATAATTAGCAGCTAAGTCATCAAAAATTACAATATGACAGAATTTAGAAAGCTTAAACTAAGAAATACACTCCAAAAAAATTTGCATGCCTTCCAATTACAGTAGACCATGTGGAGTTTGCAAAGGCTGAAACTATGAGGTGGATGTATGAAATCTGGAAGTAAGTAGTTGAAGTTGTCCCAAGTCGACCAAATATATAATAGATAAAAGTCTAAAGTATTTTTCTTGAACAAATAGAAGACAGCAATAAATAGACAGGCAGCAAACCTGGCAATGGTCATCTGTCAATGGCTGATTGGAACGAATTATCTGCTGAAGATCGGTATCCATGAGCTCATAAACAATGTATACATCATTGAAGTTTTCCCTTTGGGGTGGGCGTATAATGTCCTTGATGGCAATAATCTGCAGAGGCAAAATAACAGAATTGTTTTGAGTACTGCAACTGAGAGAAACAATGAGCTGCAATTGTTAAACTAAACAAGATTTTTTCATAACCGTCGATCTCATTTAATTTTATCAATAAAGAATATATATTCTTTAAAATTACTGAAAACAAGATGTGTGATGATATTTGTGTTCAGTTTTTGTAGTTTAGGCTTTCCTTTCTTAACCTTTCACAATCTTCAATTCCAGCCAAACCAACCTGAAATACCTTCATTTGAATGCAAATTACTGCACAGTGCAACGTATAACGAAATTGATCAAACTGTTTACTATAATAAACTGTCTAAATGTCCTGCGATTTCATGCATAGGATAACTAAAACCATTGACACTCTTCAGAAAGAAGAAAATCAAATGGTCTAACATGGTTTTGATGCAAAATTATATTTTCCCAGTAACAAGCATATTCTTTGTTGTCCATAAAAAATTGATTTGACATTCATTAATTAATGATAACAATACATGTAAACTTCATAAGAACAAGTTGACAAGCTTAAAATATTATAGAAGACTGTAACTCTAGAATATTAATATTTTTACTAAGAAAATCATGATCATGTTCGATGTTAGCATTATCTAAATACTATGTTGCGCAAGAACATGAATATAGATTACTTCCAAATATCATCATAAACAAAACTACAGTAATAACATTGTCACTAATTGAATATTTATATATTTTACACAGCTACTACAATGGCCACAACTTAGTAAGTTCAATTGTATATTGTAGTTCATCATCATCATCATTAGCTTAACCCACCTATTTGGAGCTAGCTTTATGATTTCATTCATCCTTATTGAGTGCTATATGATGCAGTAAATCATTTTTGACATATGTTTGCATAGCTATATCTTTTTCATCTTTAGTCTACATCTTTTTCTTTCTAATACTTGTACATTAATTTATCTTCCTGTTTCATTGATGCATACTCTTCATCAACATGCCAGTTATCCAAGTTATTGTCCAATATTTTATCTTCAACGCATGCTACACAAATTGTCCCTCTAATAGAAGCTTTTCAATCCTTAATTTTGACATACATCAACTTTAACATCTTCATTTCACCTAAAATCAATTTCTCTATCAACGATTTCTTTATTGCTCATCACTCAGATGTATACAGCATAACTTTCCAAATTATAATTTTATAAAACTTACTTCTCACACTCAATAATATTCGATAATTGCATAGTACTCCTAAGGCACTTCTCAAATTTAAGCACACAACCTTATCTCCAAAAGCAACATCATTTATATAAAAGTTCTTCTATATAATAGATACAAGATGCATAAATTTATGGCATCATGTTATAATTTTATCTTTAGGAATATTAGCCAATAACTAGTAATATCACATGCACTAAAATTATATATCACATAATAAATATTTATTCTGCAAATTTTAAGTAATTTAATTTCTAAATACTTTCATTAGTATTCCAACTTTCTATTTATTTTGAAAGATATTTCATTATTAAAGTTTTCATCAACAAAAAAATTTTATATATATATATATATATATGCTACTTAATGCTTATCCTTGAAGTAAACCTCTTATGAATGGGAACTTCTTGGTTAGTCGGTAGCTACGTGTAACACCAATCAATGCTCCATCATACAGATCTTTAATAACATCAATAAACCTTTGACATACACATTTTTTTCCATAATGCATATCAGATAAATTTCATGCTGCTCAATCATATCCCTTAAAAGATTAATAAAATTTGCTTCCTATATTTTTCATTATTACCTCAGCACCAAAATTATGTCCACATAGCAGATCTTCCTAGCACAAAACCCAATTAATTCTTAGATATCAACATAATTATTTTATGACTACTTTCCATTTCCTTCCCCCACAACTTCTTTTGATGACCTGTAAGTTAGATTTTTCCTATAATTATGACAATCCATAACACCTTTAATTTGAATATGGTATGAAAATACTTATTCTCCAATTAAATAGCATATTCTTAGATTTTAGGACGTTATTGAAAAAATTTGTTTATCAAACTACTCTAATATCACCCATGTCTCTCCAAATCTCTATATGTAGTTTATTTGGAACCAAGGCTTTAAGTTTATTTATCACATTCATAGCTACCCTAACTTTTTTTAATCAATTTATAAAATAACTCATTATATTGTTCCTGATGTATCTCCAAAAAAAGTTATTTATTACAACTTTTCCATTAATAAATTTTTAAAATTGCAATTGCATATTTCTTATTTCAATGATGGCATGTACACAACCCTAGCTATTTGGCATAAATGCAGGTTTTGAGATTTTATAGATTGTTAATTATAGCTTCAATATGGTCAAGTCTCTCCATTAAATAGATTAACTATAATTTAGGTCTTTGACCAACGAGCAAAACTTTAATGAAAAACTGGAACATGAACTTCACATGAGAGTTTCATGCACAGTTCAACTTTCTTCAAATCTGAATAAATTTTTATACGATAAACACAGATATTTACACAGGGTGATAGGTATAAAGCCTCCACATCATCATTTTGTCAGCTAAAATGTATAGTCATCAATCAAAATTAGGAAGCACCAGAACAAAATACAACTGTATTTATTGATTCCGTTGTGATGATGATTGCTCAAATAAAAAATAGGTATATTTAATCTGATTTTTTTTTTTTTTTATTGTATTTTATTTTTATTTTTTTTTTTTGGGGGTGGGGGGGGGGGGAGGGGGGGCATGCATAGAAGGAGCAGAAAGGTTTTACCTTAATAATGCACACAAGTATTGAATCATGCAGTGTGAAGCAAAATGGATCAAATTTCATTACTAAAGTTGATTATATCATTTGACAGAACAAACAAGCTTAGAAAAAACATACAAGGCCACTAGAATGGAGGAACTTACATTATCATGATTCATGTGTCGTAGAAGCTTTATTTCTCTTAAAGTTCTCTTGGCATCAATTCTATTATCAAAAGCGCTACCAATTTTTTTAATAGCAACCTCCTCCCGGGTTTGTGAGTTCACAGCCGCACTGCATTAAATCAAAATAGTTCGGAAGACAATACAAGATGGGCCAAAAAAATAAATAAAATATTTTAGCCTTTCATAACTTAAATAATAAACCAGCATTTGAAGGTCAGCAGCAAGAGCAGAAGGGAACAATTCTTCTGATGCGCTTAAGTATGGAGCTAATCAAGAGCATGTAGGAAAGGGTTCATAAAACACTAGTCCTTGGCAAAAAACACCGGAGATATACTTGAGGTCCAATCACAAAATCAGATCTACGAGCCTCTTAATTAAAAAAAAAAAATTAATGCAAACAAAGATTGACTAAGAGATAGCCATGAGCATTTCCTTCAAATCAAACGGTTTTTATAACACTGAAACTGCTAGAAAGAATAGTTTGTTGGATTAACAAGGAATATAAAAAAATATAGGATTATAGCAAGCTAGAAATAGCAAATCAACCTATGTCAATGTTCAGATTATTTGAATACACTCATTACATTCCACACTGCCATCCTTGTCAAACGCAGAAAAAAAAAAATCCAAATATAATATCCTATATGTATTTCATTTTCTTATTCAGAACCTTAAAATCTACACTGCAAGAGTTTGCATGTTTGTAGGATATAATTAGCCACAACAAACTTACCGTGTCCCAGTTAAACTCTAGCTCCTCTGTTGCCTTTCTATTTTTTTAACCTACACTCAAGTATGATTATCATAAAGCCAAATATCTAGAAAAATCGGTTCAAGTCAGCGTAGTTCAATTAAGTCAACTCGGTCTAAACCGTCTCAACTCAAAAGGAACTCACGAAACTATAAATGAGCTGTCCCCCAAGAAGGCAACAACGATCTATGAACTTGAACCAAGTAGGCTGGTAAGACTCATCAAATCGCCTTAGTAAATACAACTTATCAAGTCATCCCTAGTGAATACTCAAGTGGGAAACTTCGTTTATATGGGAAACTATTGATAGATTATTTAATTATTTGTTCATCAATATATGCTAAAAAGCCAACGACTTTTTACTAGCTCGGGAACCACATCTATATGTCGGACATTCAAATTAGGCTACATAATATTGATATTCTTCTCTTATTTTCTATATAGCCATATAAATAGCTAATTCTATAATGCTCAAATCCCAACCAAATAGGGAATCAAGCTATGAGCTCAGATTACACAATTTTCTATACCTAAGCTAATCTTACAGGAATCTTAGATCTTCTCAATCTAAAATTCTCTCACTATTTTTCTACTCTTTTCACTCTGCATTTTGTATCACAAACAATTCTAGATTCAACATATTGAAAGGTGCAATGACTGTAGAGAATGCTACAAACTAGAATAGTACTTCGTGAAATAAAGAATCAACGTAGAGGTGGAGAAGCATTTATGAATATGGAGGACAAGGAATTTTCCACAGTTAGATAGCTTGATAAATTTGAAGAAAGGGTGTTGAGAATGATCCAAGGAGCAATAGAACGAATTCTACAAAGCCCACCTAAAGTGGAGTTGCTAGCAAGATCCTCGAATTTTATTGTGAAGAGAAGGAAATTCTCCGGAGTTTATTGTGAAGAGAAGGAAATTCTCCGGAGTTAGAGTATTGGTCAATACTCCAGTGACTAATAAAACTTAATACCCAAACATTGAGAAGTCGACCTTGATTCTTCGTCAAGAAAAAAGGGGGACTAAGAAGCAAGAGTCGCCACTAACAAGTGTTTTCTCCAAGGAGATTGTTGAGGTTAAAAATCTAACAAAATTCAAGATTCCTCAGCTGGATTCATACAAAAGGAAGACGAAACCAGCCAACAACATTGCCAATTTTGAGTCGGCCATCTCATTACTCGACATGGATGATGCATTAAAGCATAGAGTTTTTCACTACCTTTAAGGAATCGCCTCTACGATAATTCTCCCATCTTTCACTTAGAGTGATTGCTTCAGTAATTGCACTCAAAAGATTGTTCATCACTCCATTTATAAGCATGCAAAGTTCGTTGAAGAATTCACAGGCCTTACCATGAATGATGCTAGATTTGGGAGAGTCATTAAGGAGCTTCATTACCAAATTCTAGAAAGAGATGTCGGATGCGAAGGATCTAAACTAGGTTATGGCCCGAGCTACTCTATCACAAGGCCCATGAAAGGAACCTTTCACATATGCACTCAGCTTATAACAACTAGAGACTTTGACTGAGTTATTAGAACTTGCCAATACCAACATCAATGCAGTGGAATATAACATTGAGACCAGTGCAATTGCAACGACAATGAGGAAGGAGAACTATCACTACAAGAAATTCAGGCATTACCGGCGATCATATAGATGTCGGTAATACCAGCAATATAACCGGCGATTATTTAATTAACCGCCAACGGAATTAGCGGCAGTCTAATAACCGGCGGTTAGGCTGTCAATTTTATTTTTTACCGGCGGCTATTACTGCTGGTTTAAGTGACTTTTTTCCGGCGGTCTGAACCGCTTTAAAATGACCTAAATTTAGCCATCCTGAGCCTTCCACTTCATTTCCTTGCATTCTCCTCTCTCTCGCTACAGACGCTCGACCCCACTTCGACGGGCTTTCGCAGATTGATCGCGCCTCCTGCGCAGGAATCCAGCCGCCGACGACCTCCCTCCAGCTGAAGATCTCGCCCCCACTCCGGCATCAGAGCACGGCCGCAATCTACCCATGAAACCGGCGTCCAAACCGAATTTAGGTTTGCGTTTTTTTTCCCTCAAATTTGTTATTTGGTGGTTTGAACAAGTATTTTCCTATTATGCTTGGATTAAATCAAGGATTAGCATTAAGCCCATATCTTTTTGCTTTACTCATGGATGTTCTCACTAGATATTTGCAAGAGGGTGTACACTAGTGTTTGATTTTTGTTCATGATATTCTTCTTGTTGATTTTGGGCAATCAAGTCATTTAATAATAGTACACATTTAGATATCTTGTGACTATTGTTCATAGTGATCATGAAATAGATTGGCATGAATTAAAATATTTGATTTAATTTGTATTAATATTTTTTGTTATACCTATATTTGTTTACATAAAAATTTTAGGTGGTTGCCTGAGCATAGCATGAGGATCAGAACAAATTTTGAGATGAGAAGATCGACCCGTCTTAGAGACATGTTCACGGACATTAGAAAGTTTGGGCAGCATCCATTATGGATTGGAGAGAGTGAATGGGCAAATTTAAGTAGAGCTTGAGCGAGCCCTGAGTTCACAAAAATAAGAGAGCAGAATAAGCAGAACAGAGTATCTGATTGTGGGAATTTAGGAAGCTCCCTTCATACTGATCGATCTGTTCCTCATACGGAATATAGATGATGACTGGTAAAAGCTTTGAATTTATATAATAAATATATGTATATTATTTTAAATATATCTTATATTTTCAGAAAGAGTTACTTGGCCGGGAGCCAACACCACTGGAGTTGGATACGAGGACTCACCAACATCAAGTTGACCATCAGTGGGTTGATGAAAAGGCTAAAAAAGCTCATGTGAGTATAATTTTTGGAGATTGGGAATATAAATTTAATATAAAAAATCCTATTCTAACATCAATATATTTTATGAATTTATTCTAACAGGATGATTTTGAACGAGTTCGGGAAAGTCGTAAGTCTACAGGTGAGGGATCATCTTCAGGATCGACCCAGCATTCTTAGTATCATACATGATCAGATGTTGTTGGAGGAAGGCAGAGGGGGAGGGCATATGGCTTGGGTTCGCAAGACTATGCTTATGAGGACAGTTCATCCACATTAGCATTTAATGATTCTAATGGAGCTAAAGAAACTGTAATCCAGAGGGTTGCAGCCCTAACGAGAGAGATAAAAGAGATGAGAAAGGTTCAAAATGAGATGCAGGCAGAGCTGCGATCCTATAGAGATGAAAATCAAAAGAAAAAAGAGCAAGAGCAAACACATACATCACCAAAAAACGAGGACACGGAGGATTAGTACTCTTATTTGTTTGATGAACTTTTGGTTTAAAAATTTGGTTTGATGAACTTGTTGTGTGAAAGCGAAGACATGGATATATTATTGTGGATTTATAAGTTATCAGACTTTATTTATTTATTTGGTTTGATGAGTTTATTTATTTTGATGAACTTTGTAAACTTTATTTGCTTATTACAGATTTCATTTCAATGCTATATATGTTGATTTTGTAGACTTTATAATAATTGTGATTGATTATGTGGATTTCATTTCATTTCAATGAACTTTATAATATGTGGATTTCATTCCATTTCAATGAACTTTATAGACTTTATAATAATTGTGATTGATTATAGTGGTGTGTTGCACATATTTGTGATAATTGTTGTCTATTTTATGCAGGTTTAGGATTTAGGGTAAAATTGAGTAAATATAGAGGGGAGGCTGTCATTTTTTTTTAAATACTACAGGTTTTCGGTGGCCAACCGGCGGTTTGGCCGTCGGAAACTTCGATACCGAACGGCTTATTATAGCTACCAAAATTTCAATACAGTCGCTGGTAATTCCGACAGTCGCCGGCAGTCATCCGGTGGTTTAAACGCCGGTAATACCTGCGGTTCTGATGGCCGGAAAGCCGTAGGTGATTAAATGGCAGTTTACCAGCAGTCGTCGGCGGTCCACCGATGGTGATCCGACGGTTTGGCCACCGGTAACACCTGCGGTTTTGACGGCCGGTACTCTGCCGGTGATTAACCAGCGGTCACCAGCATTATGACCGCCGGAAATTACCGGCCGTTGCCGCCGCCAGTGATTATAACCGTCGGAAATAGTATCCTACGTGGTTTATTCCGACGGTTTTTAAACCGCCAAAAAACTGTTGGTATTTATTAAACCATCGGTAATCTTATTAGATAAACCATCGGAAAAAATCGCCGATAATACCTAAATTTCCTATAGTGAATCCAGGAGAAAATTTTGGCAATCTAGGGACCAAATAAGTCTCATCAAAGCTAAGGGTCCGAAAGGAGATTCTATAATAATCAAAGAACTATGCACCACTAG